TTTCTGTTTTTACTTTTATTTGCATGTACTTTATGCAGAATTTACTCCCGGGCCATAAGTTTTTGTTTCTTCAGTTTCTTCTGGGATATCTTTTTCTTCTGTGCAACTTCCTCTTCTGGTTTAGGAACAATCTGCTCTTTTTCAGTGAGGATCATCTCAATGTGGCAGGGAGAGCTCACGTATGGGTTAATCTGACCATGAACCCTGTAAGTTCTACGCCGCATCTTGGGGGCTTTGTTCACCTGGATGTGCTCGATGACCAGAGAATCTTCATCTAAACCCTTAAGTTCAGCATTACTCTCTGCATTTTTAAGCATGTGCAGTTCAGCACTCTTTTTGGGCCACCGACCCTGTGTCCAGCCCCACTGTTTGGCCTGGGCACACCTACCAACTCCACCATTGTAGCGTCGGAATGGAACACATTGCTTCTGCAAAGTGACATCTTTAAGATACTTGGTGGCTTTTCGGATATGCATACCCTTGATGGCCTGGGCAGTTTCACGTGTGTTCTTAAAGTGAACACGAAGATTTGAACCTCTTGATTTGCATGATTTTGTCGGGTTTTCCGGGTCAAGTGAATAGCGAACCATTTTCAGAGATCACCTCAGGCCGCTCACAGGAAGAGCTCTGCCTTCTGTTTTTAAGTGCTTGTGTGTGTGTGGTGGTGGGAGGGGTCCTGTGCCCCCAAATGAGAGCTTATAAAACTGAAAGTAATAAATTAAGGATTTAATGCTTTATATTTCAAACCAACTGTAGGAAAATTGGTGGTGTTAAAATTTCTTTTTTAAAAAAATGTTTTTTAATCTTTATTTTTGAGAGAGAGAGAGAGAGAGAGACAGCACGAGCAAGTTCTGGGGGAGCTGTCAGCACAGAGCCCAATGCCAGGCTCAAACTCATGAACCGTGAGATCATGAGCTGAGCCGAAGTTGGATGCTGAACTAACTGCCCCAAAATTTCTCCTGATATCAAGAAAGAGACATTAGGAGCTGTAAGAACAAAACTTATTATTTTAAATGTAATTTAAATGTAAATAAGGAAATGAAGGCTTTTGTCATTTAAACTTGATCTTGAATATAGTGAACAGCTTGGATTACCCAGAAAGAAAATTAGTATGAAAAGAAGACAATGACAGTGGTGTCAATGCAGGATAGTAGTTTTTAACAGTTTTAGAGATGTAGAGGGACTTTTCTGGAACGGTAAAAGGAAAGGCTGAAGTCTCAACCTTTCCATCTTTTTGATGCTTATGCCCTTATACTTCTATTTCAGCTTCTTATTTTAAAAATAATACATTTTCTTGAATTCACAAGATGGTTTATATATGTGATAGAAGGAGGGGCTTGGGCCACTTGAATATAACTTCCACTTTTGTGGTAAGTGTATAGACTATATCTCTGTACATTTACATATAATAGATATAGTAATATAAAGTAATAATTAGCAAATGAGAATAAACATAATTTGTAGGTGTCTTTCCTCAAAAAAAGGAGAAAGGTTTATTTGAGACCGTTGGTACTATGTTTTCAAGTAGCAATCCAAAGTCATCTTTCATATTTTACAAAAATGTTTATACTTCTGTTAGAAATATTGCCTTTGTATCTTATGAACTATTTCAGCACTTATACTTGAATTGTTGTTTACCATCCAATCTTAATAGGGGGAGAAGTAGTAGGTATTATGCTGTATCCTTCAGATGAGTTTCAAAGCATTAATGATCAGTGGACATTGCTTAAGAAGTCTTGGAGTGAATTCTGATTATGATTTCCTGTCAGGTCTGTTTCACTGATCAATCATTAATTTGTTGTTTAATATATCAGACTGTTTTACCTTAAAGGAGCAGTTCCCTACTCCCCTTTACATTTGGTAATTAGCTAAGCAGACGTTGATTGCATGATTCTCTATATTGGGCCAGCATTTTGCTCACGGTACAAAAGGCTTCTTTTTTTCTCCTTCATCCACACACTGAGTCCTCTCCAGTTCTTAATGGAATTGCCTCTTCACTCCCCACCCCACAGCCCTTCCCCGACCTACCCCGGTCCCAGCATGGATTGTTATACTGCTTCCCACAGAGTTTCCCTTTCTCCAGAAAGACTGTTCCAGACTGTTCTACATACATCTGTAAGAATAATTTTCAGGCATGGTTTGGATTGCACAGTACTCTATTCAAGAACTATAGGGACTGCCTATTACCTCTACATAAAACTTACATTCCTCAGTCGATCTCTCAAGGCTTGCCCCTTGACTCTATTTAATGTACTAATACCACCTAATGCTACAGCTGTTTAAAGCAGACAGACCACCTTTAAATGTTGACTCTTAATTGGAATAATGTTTTATGATACTCTGTAAAGCTTTTTCATGCTTCAGCTCTACATGATTCATTTAACAAATTATAACCCACTCAGAGAACTTAAAAAAATTTAACGTGCTGTGTAGGGGGAGACACATTTCCGAGTTCATGGATTCATAACCATTAAGTAAATTTCCATGGAAGAATGATCTTATTTAACCTTTCTGTGGCATTGTGTCTTCGTAGGGAGGAAATCAGACAGCTACAGTGATTGCATTGTGCTCAATGAAGGATTTCAACTTAGCACAAGAGACCTGTCAGTTGGCAATCAGGGATGTTGGAGGCCTTGAAGTTTTAATAAATTTGCTTGATACAGATGAAGTCAAATGTAAAGTGAGTGGTTTCCTGACATGGGTGACGAACCTTCTTCACACTTTCCTGTGCTTCTCTTTTTACCAATAGGTGTCTGCCACTTCTGCCCAGTTCTTGTCCTTGTCTGCTAGCCACTCTTCTCATCTCTACCTTTCTTCCCTATCTTCTGGTTCCTTTCCATCAGTATGTGCTTCTTAAATGATGAATGTTTGTTTACATAATTGAAGGAAAATAAGGAGCATATGTGTAACACACAGGAATAGAAGATATTTCTTTAAAAAACTTCACAGGGGAAGGATTTTAAGTAGACTTGGAATTTTTATGGTTATGCATTAAACACTTATTTTCACCTCTAACTTCTTTTTCTCATTTAGATTGGTTCATTAAAAATCCTGATGGAAATCAGTCATAATCCTCAAATCAGACGTAATATTGTTGACCTTGGGGGCTTACCAATTATGGTTAATATACTTGATTCTCCACATAAGAGTCTGAAATGTTTGGCAGCTGAGACAATTGCAAATGTTGCCAAGTTTAGAAGAGCCCGACGGGCAGTGAGACGCCATGGGGGCATCACCAAACTCGTGAGTACTGCTGACATCGTCATCAGCACAGCCCTGCCACTAAGATGTCAACTTCCTGCTGTCCTTCCTAAAGGAGATGTTGCCTTTGCTGAGTCTTTTTTTTTAATTTTTTAAAATGCTTTTTATTTTGAGAAAAAGAGAGAAAGGGAGGGAGGAACAGAGAGACAGGGAGAGAGAGAATCCCAGGCAGGCTACATGCTGTTAATGCATAGCCTGACATGGGGCTTGATCTCACGAACTGAGAGATCAAGACCTGAGCTGAAATGAAGAGTCAGATGCTTAACCAACTGAGCCATCCTGGTGCCCCAGCTTTGCTGAGTCTTGAAAAGTGAGTAGGTATTTGTCATGTACACACACTAGAGAAAGGCATTTCAGGAAGATGAAGCTATGTTGATAAAGGCCCAGAGCTGGAAAACAACAGAGTATTTGGAAACTACAAGTGGCTAATGAGATGGGCTGGGTAGTAAAAGATGAATGTAAGGGACCATGGTGGTCACACAGGGCCTTATCCAAGAGCTGAAGAGTTTAGATTTTATATAGATACTAAGGGAATAACTTTTGGAGACACATACTTTAAAGCTGTCTGCTCTGTGTTCAGTCCCATTGTCGTAGAATGAAAGCCATCTCAGTGTCCTTTCTTGGGCTGTAACTAGTTTGTCCATGAGTGTCCACTTGACTCAAGCCAGTCCCACAGATTTTTCTCCCAGGAATTTGGAATTGGGAATTAGAGACTCTACTTAGTCTGGACTACTCTTTACTAAACTCAAGATATAGTGGTCATGATTATGTGGACATATCCATGGAATCTGGCTTGCAGAGAGAGAAGAATGAAGTAGACACACATTGTTGGATAGAGATAACTCTGGCTGCCCCAACTTTACTTCCTCTGGAGCACCCTTACTTATACAGATAAGATACTGCTTATCTATATAAATTGCTGTTCCCTTAAAGTCTTCAGTGACTTTAGTTACTAAAAAAAAAAAAAAAGAAAAGAAAAGAAAAGAAAGGATCCTGGCAGCTGTATCATATGGATTGGTTGGTTTCAGCAGCCCAGGTGGGGGGCCACGTCCTCCAAAGAGATCTCATGGTTTTAAGAATATACAGGCCATTCAGTTCTCATAGAAAGTTCTAATGGCTTTAGGGAGCCTGGTTTTCTGAGATACCAGGACTGAGGATATAGTTTACAAATCTTCCTAATGCAAATATTATAGCTATATTAAGAAAATACAATCTTGGTGAGATTAAATTTCTTGTAGGAAGGAAATGTAAACACTCCCAAATCTGGAGGAAGGTGTTTGAAGGGTCTTGTTTCTTTGTTTTTCACATGCAGTATGAAAGTTAATTTGTGAAAGTATTTTTATATTGTTTAAAGCTTATTTTATTTTGAGAGAGAGAGAGAGAGAGAGAGAGAACACACATATGAGCAAGGGAGGGACAGAGAAAGGGGGTGGAGAGAGAATCCCAAGCAGGCTCTACACTGTCAGCATGGAGCCCAGGGTGGGGCTTTAACCCATGAACTGCGAGATCATGACCTGAGCTGAAATCAAGAGTCTGATGGTTAACTGACTGATCCGCCTAAGTGCCCTGAAAAAGTATTCTTGTTTTTGATGGAGGTTAGCTTGGTAGCCACCCTATATCTATTGAGGAGCATGTTGTTTTATTTCAAAGATCCCCGTGTGCATCATATTTACCTATTCTTGTAGGTCGCTCTACTCGACTGTGGGAAGAGTTCGGCAGAACCAGCTCAATCGAGCCTGTATGATGCCAGAGATGTGGAAGTGGCTCGCTGTGGAGCACTGGCATTGTGGAGCTGCAGTAAGAGTTACACGAATAAAGAAGCCATTCGTAAAGCTGGGGGCATTCCTTTGTTGGCTCGCTTACTGAAGACATCTCATGAAGACATGCTAATTCCAGTGGTGGGGACATTGCAAGAATGTGCATCAGAGGTACTCAATCCAGCTCTGCTTCCCTTGCTTTCATTTACCTTGACATTCTTTAGGTTGAAAAATAATTTTCAAGGTTATCATGACTGCTAAGGAATTTTTTTTTTTTTTGAGAAGCCAGGAGTCTATTAGAAAGAGAAGATGAAACTAACAGAACATTAATTAAATTGGTACCCGTGTGATGTATTTTTGAAAATACTGACCAAAGTCTTTTCTTATGTAGTTGTGTTAACCTTGGACCTTACTGTTTATTAAGAAAGTTTGTTGGCATCATTATTAATAAGTTTAAAAAGACAATATACGTGCCTTACGTGCATAAATATTTAAATTTGTGTTCCTAGGAAAACTACCGAGCTGCAATCAAAGCAGAAAGGATAATTGAAAATCTAGTGAAGAACCTAAGTAGCACAAATGAACAATTGCAGGAGCAC